CCTGCCATGGCCATACAATTTGTAAGCAATGTAAGTCTCTGTGTTTACTTGGTTGGGTCTGAGCGGCTGTGGGACTGGCGGGTGACAGAGATTTGTCCTGACTGTGGGCCAGGCAGGAAAACGCTAGCTACAATTTTTGTAGATAGAAGAGTGAGATGGGGTCTGATTATGGAGCCCAGGCTGTCCTGAGAGTGTCTATATACTGGTCTGGCCTCGACTCACAGAGACCTGCCTGCTTCTGCCTCCTGCATGCTGGGATTAGAGGTGTGCAGCGCTGTGCTTAGCAGGAATGCCATTTCTGGCCATCCAGCCTCCTCTGCATCTTTTGTCTGACAGCTGCCCTGTAATAAGCTCAGCGGCAGTTATCACATGACTCATCACGTGAACCAAAGAGAAAGCAAAACGGTTGCTAGTAAATGTTAGAAGGGTTTTACTCTGGAGAAATGGAGCGGTGATCCAAGTGGTGAGGGTGACCAGACTGGTGATGATGGTGTTGCCGTGGCAACAATGCCAGTTGTGGGGGAAGCGACGGCGATGAAGATGGTGGGGATGGTCTATGGCCATACCACCCTGAACGCGCCCGATCTCGTCTGATCTCGGAAGCTAAGCAGGGTCGGGCCTAGTTAGTACTTGGATGGAAGATGGTGGGGATGGGGTAAGTATGGTCATGGCCATGGTGATGGTTCTGTTTCTGTGATGCAATGCCATGGCCAAAGGCAACTTTATTTGAGCGAGTTTATTTGGGCGTGTGGTTCCAGAGAGAGGGAGTCCAGGCAGCCAGAGGAGGAAGCCGAGAGATCACATCTTTAACCATAAACAGGAAGTCGAGAGCAAACTAGAAACAGGTATGGCCATACATCCTCTAAAGCTGCCCCCAGTGAGGTACTTCACTCCAGCCAGGGTGCATACATCGTCCCATAGCCTCCCCAAATGGCGCCACCAAGTGGGGACCCAGTGTTCAAATGCCTGAGCTTCCGGGGGATAATTCTCCTTTAAACCACCACGATGGTCATCGTGGTGAAACTGATGAAGGTGATAATGACAGCAACGGTGGTGGAGGAGACGATGTGGGTGACAGTGAATCACGAGGATGGTGTCATGATAGTGATGGAGGCGACAGTAATGATGGTGAGGATGTCGGATGGTACTGTCATAGGACCGCCCATGGTGAATGTGGAGGCAGAAGTGGACATGGTCAGTGAAGATGATCATGGTACCGGCGGTGGTGGTGACTCTGGACCCCTGAGTCATCATAAAAATTTGGTCTTTGTTCAACATAGTTTTGTTATTCTGGTTCTCTGAGGATATTCAGTATCTTTGGAGGTGTGTGTGTGTGTGTGTGTGTGTGTGTGTGTGGTGTCTTAGTTAGGGTTTCTATTGCTATGGAGAGACACAGTGACCACAGCAACTCTTATAATGGAAAGCATTTAATTGGAGCTAGCTTACAGCTCAGAGGTTTAGTTCATCATCACCATGGCAGGAAGCAGGTAGACATGGTGCTGGAGAGGCAGCTGAGAGTTCTACATCTGGATTGGCAGACAGCAGGAAGAGACAGTGAGCCTCTAGGCCTGGCTTGAGTTTCTGAAACCTCAAAGCCTGCCCACAATGACACACTTCCTCCAACAAGCCACACCTACTCTAACAAGGCCATACTTTCTAATAATGCCACTCCCTGTGTGCCTTATGGGGGCCATTTTTATTCAAACCACCACAGTGTGTATTTGAGAATTTAATTAAATCCATGGATTCCTATCTCAGAAAAATACTCATAGGCAAAGTTTTTCTCAGACTTGGGGCGTTTGTTGCCCTCCCGAGGAGCCCTGTGCATTCTTACACCCTAATCAGGCCAGGCAGCATAGGGTTTTTTTTTTTTTTTTTTTAGGTACAGCCTCCAGATGCCAGCACACAGCTGAATTACGCAATATTCAAGTGACCCCTTCATTCAGCACAGCACATCTGGTGAAGAGGAAGCTTTTGTCAAAACATAAATATTTTGAAGTATTTTGTAATCTAACTCCATGTAGTTTAGATATACTCAGAGTGATTGAGGCGGGGAAATCAATACTATTGGACCAGAAGTTAAAACAGTCAGAACATTCTTCCCCACCCCAGTCTCTTCGGGGAGCCTTATTTTTCCCTCTGTGAGGAGAGGGGCCTCTGCTGCCTACCCTTTATGGCACAGGGTCTAGTCTGGATGTGAGTAGAGATCTGCGGGGGCACTCCATTGTCAGCCTGGCTTCACTCCCTGACGAACGACTGCTGTGTCCAACACACACAGAGGCAATTAAAGACCACCTAACCACAGCTGTGACTGGGTTCTCCCAGAATGCTCCTGAGACACCCCCCTCAGGCATTTGTCCCCCAATCTTCCTGTCACCCGACATCCTCATCCCACCTGGGTCCTGAGAACCTGCCCTCGGCTCCTGAAAATGAAAGCATCTGTCTGCCCTCTGTGCCGCTGTGAAATTGAAAGACAAAAAACACAAGGGCCCAGCAACCCAAGACCTGGCGAGCTTCTTGAGGATACCGGGGTGTCAACAACTTGAGAAGGTGAACCTTGCAACTCTACCTCCAACTCTGAATAGTCATGTGGTACCATGGGGCAGCGGATGTGATGTCACCTACAGCAGGAGACTTTGTTCCTTTTGTTCATTTGTTTTCGAAGCTGTGTCTTCCGGGAAAGTGGAGCTCTGGGAGTTGGGGAGGTTACTGGTATATTGACTCTGTCCCTGAGCAAAAGAAACTGACCCTTCTTTGACATGTACTCAACATTTCCAAGGCCAAAACAATACCCCTGAACCTCGAGTGTTCCCACAGATATCCCTAGCAGAAGGGAGCCACAGAGGGTTCTCCACACAGACCTACTGCAGTCCTCCACAGGCCTGAGAACATGTGGGCAGAGGGAGAGGTAGAATTGCTTACTTGTCCTTCAGGTCATGACAGTGTGCTCAACAGGCAAACACAGCCAGTTAGTCCTCACAGGGCATGCATGTCTTGTTTCAGTCATTCTTTGGTCTACCAGACGACAAAGTATATCTGTGTTGCTCAGTCCTGCCATCCCCCCAGGGAAAAAAAAAAGTCATGTGGCTTTGGTATCTGAATTCTCCCTGGTGGCTGGGAATGACACCTAACTGAGGGTCATCCTTGAGCAGGTGGCCAGCCTCACAGGACCCATCATGGGTTGGCACCCGGAAGGTACTTTTATCTGGAAGGTACTATTGCCTGGGTTACCTCATGGCAGCTCAGTAGTGCCACTGCAGACACTAGAATGATGAGCAGCCTGAAAATGGAGCTGAGGAGGAGGAAGGCTGCTTAACCCTCCTGTGGCTTTGGAATGTGAGCTGGAGGAGATCTCTTCTCCTCTACAGGCAGTGAAGGCCAAAGGGACATCCCTCCAGAGCCCTCATCCATACAAGCAGATTTTCATGGAAAAAATGGGGTGTCTAGGAGCCTGGCTATTGTGTGAAGTCAGATACTGCTTAAGACCCTATGGATCAACTATGTGAATTACAACACATTCAAGGAGCAGAAGAATGAAAACAAGGGGGTGTATTGTGCTCCCCCATTCTGTTATGACCACCCTTTCAGCCAGGATCCCTTGTATTACATAAGAGCACAAATTCTTCCTCTGAAATAGAATCCTGAGGCCATCCTGTGACATCAGAAAACAGTATCTACCCAGATCCAAGGTCTAATCATCCTCAAGCTGTCTTAACTGTCCCTTTCCCTAATGTTCAAACGCCCATCTGAACAGGAGTCAGTAGCTTGCTTGTCCATTCTGTCTATTCATTGTGACCATCAAAGTCTAATCCCCAGGGCTGTCCTCACTGCTCCTGTGAGTATGTGCCAGCTAGCTCTTCCAACTCCTCCAACACAGAATCTGTTTCCTCTGATCAATCCTTGCACATCGCTAACTGGCTTACACTGAGCTTTCTCCTCAGTCATCGGGCAGCCTCTGATCATGCTATGGAAAGACCCAGCAGCATTGTCCATCACAGGGGTAAGGCTGGCATAGGAAGAAAGGATCACCTTATCTGTAGGCCCCGAGAGCCAGGAATACACAAAGCCACATATTCAACTTCCATGGATACCCAACCCACATGTCACTCAAATGTGTCTGAAGCCCAAGTGGTCCTCACTGCCATTCTAGAAAGGGGTACAATTTCCTTTTAGCTACTAGAGAGACCCTAAGAGGTCCTCTGGTATCAGAAGGAGCCCCTCCCTGCTGGCTAAGTGCCTTGGTCTCCTGTTGTCCCTTTACAGGGCATCAGTGTACCCCAAAAATAGCCATCTGACCCCATTGTTCTCCACACCCTTCAAATTCCCAAATTGCCACATTCTGAGTGTCCCCTGGTCTACATCAGGGTAAAACCTCCAACAATTGGTCCTCTACTTTGTGCTAAAGACAGTCAAGACAGCGTCCTCTTCTGCTAGTGAATGGTCACCTTGTTGCTGCTCCTTCAGGTCCCTGCTGCCCTCCCGGATGCTAACGGGATCCCCTGAGAAGTAAGGCTCAGGTGTGACCAGAGACTTCCTTGGTAATGCTTGGGAAAGACACAGGGCTGGTAGCCACAGGCACTGGGGCCTTGGGTGAGATGAGCCCCTGTGAGGGGTTAGTGGGGGGAAACCAGCCTGTATCACTCCTAGATTATCTTGGAGGACTAATCCCTAGAAGGATCCAGATCTTGGGATCTGCCAGCATCCTTTCCCTGGAGAGCAGCCAAGGCAGGAAGTAAACAAAAGCTGAGGCAGCCCAGATCAGCTGCAGTCTGGCATGGCCAGAGCCCAAGCCTGAGCCTCTTGCTCATGACCAGCATGCAGTTGTCACACTCACGCACAACCTGACCCAGACAGATGCTCGATCTCTGGTGCATGCATGCCACAACTCATTAACACACACACACACACACACACACACACACACACACACACACACACACACAGCATATGCAAATGCCACACAGAAGACACTCATGCATGCTCACACCTCTTGGCTCTGGTCACCCCTACCCACTCAAAAGGCCTCTAGAGCAGAGACCAGTGATACCTGGGGCTGCCCACACAAGGGTAGGTACTAACGCTGTGCTGCTAATAGTCTAACCAGGGCTCCAGGTTCTAGGAGGTGCAAATGAGAAGTGACAGGGGCAGGTATCTAAGGCTGGGACCTGTAGGGGCAGCTCTCAAGAGGTCGCCTTAGCGGCATTTTCCTCTTCCTTAGGAGAGACACTGTTCCTCTGCCACTGCTAGGCACAGGACACAGGACATTGTGGAAGGTGCCTCCAGCCAACTCCTCAGATGTGAGAAATCAAAAGAAAAAGATGACCAAGCTTTAGTGGGCAGAGGGAGGAAGGCCCTGAAGACAGGGCATCCATAGGGAAGTCACCTCCAGGGTGGGCTTACCAAAAGTAGCCCCCCAACCCCGGGACGGGACACGGGGCGGAGTGGTAGGGGGCGGGGAACAGGGGCGCTAGATCACAGATTTGCTCGGCGCTCATGGGAAGCAAGCCTCACCATGCCACCTCGAGAACTACCCTGAATTGAACCCCTTCCCTAGCCCTGCCTCTACTTCTCAGAGCCACACCTACTCCAGACTGGAAAGCCTGGATCCTAGCCACAGCCTGCTTGCTCATGCACCCTGCCTGCCAGGGACGTGAGCAGGACCCACTCAAAGCTCACCTTTGGGATTCTCGGAGAAGGGGGTGATACACCAATGTCAGGGCCCTCTCACCCCCTCCCCTAACTCTATGACAGATCCCCTTGCCTTTTGAGGGGCCCTTTCGACTCCCAAGAGAACAACCCGGTGCCCACGGGACCCTAAAAACATACGTTATTTGGATCCTTTCACTGCGCTTGGGAGCTCAACCCCACATACCGCCGCCAAGCTTCAGTGAGAATACTCGGATAGAGTGGGGGGAGGAGGGGAGAACCCCGGCCCACCAGGGTGGGAGTAGCTCCCACCGGTGCCAGTCCTGGGCTCCCTTCCTTTGGGTTGGGAAGGTACGGGAGACCTGGTAGCCCAAAGACTTGCTATGAAAACGTCATCAGGTACTACAGTGCAGACAGGGTCCAGCCCCAGCGCTGCGGCTGCGTGTCCTGGACGTTTCCATCTCCTCGTCTCCCTTTCCTCCCCTCCTCCCCCCTCCTCCCGCTCCTTCTCTTGCTCCCCATTAGTCGTTCCCGCATCCCCACCCTCTGACCCCGCCCATCCGCGGGGCCGCAGCGCCTCCCGGTGGTCGAGCTTTCCAGGCATCCGCCCGCCCGGGGCAGGGTTAAAGTGGGAGGCCTCTGGGCTTCGTCCCCTCCCGCTCAGTCCCGGGCCGCCCCTGGGTCCCCCTCCCTCCTCCCCACTCGGCGCCCGCATCTCGGGCCGTCAGGACCGGGCCTCTCCTCGGAAGTGCCCAGACGGCCTCTCCTTGGAAGGGCCAAACCAGGTAAGCTCACTGTGGGGTGCAGACTAGCCTGGGGGAGAGGAGGAACAGGGTTCAGAGGCTGCACCTCAGGGGTCTAGGGTGGGGACTGAGTTCTCAGAGGTCACAGATCTACCCAAACTGACTGTCCAGCCCTAGGTTCTAGTATCTGGCCGGCCCCTAAGTCTTTGTCGGACATAGCCTAGTTGGGTGCAGGCTTCATCTTGCTGTGAATTCCACAGCTTTCTACTGACCACTGATGGCCCAGACTCCCCTACTTCCTCAGTCCACAGAGTGCCTGGCATCTGGTCAGACCCATGGCCATTTCTAGCGGGTCTGAGTTATCCCTGGCCTGGAGGACATCTCCAAAGGGTTAAGGAACCTAAATGGCCTCAATGGGAAGATATGGTGTGAGTTGGACTTGGACACAGGTCCTGTTGTTGGCTCCTCTGCGGGCCCCAGGGAAGGGTATTCTTCATGGGGAAAGTGGCAGCCATTTGAATGAGCTCCTCAGGTGGACTTCGGGGTGCTCTGTGGGCAACAGAGAAGTGAGTCCCAGGTCCTATGGGTGGGCAAGCCAGGTGCTCTCAAGGAGACACCAACCCTCTTGTTGAATGTCCTCTGTGCTTAGGGACAGAAGCAGGAGCTGAGGGATGAGAGTGGACCCAGGTCACTCTCAGCTCCATCCTACCCCTGGGACTCCCAGGGCACACCCAGAGCACGGAGGAGAGACATCTCCCCTCTAAACAGTCTATAGACAGAACAACACAGAACAGCCCTCATGAAGCCTGGGTGTTCAGGGACTATCCCTATGCTCACTTGAGGACATGGAGCCAGTGGCGTAGAGGGACCAGGTACCTAAAAGGGATATTTAAGGTCAAGATTAACTTACTGTTTTGTTTTGGTTTTTTTTTTTCCAATTAAATAGTTCTGGCTTTGAGGCCAGCATACACTTAGCAAGAAAAAAAAAAAAAAGGAAAGGAAAGGGGCATTTGAGACTTCATCTCACAAATACTGGAAGTAAAGCAGGTTTCTGGGTCTCTTAGAGGGAAGGGGTAGGGCCAGGGACTGGGCTTGGACCTAGGATTCCAGGGAACAGGTGATATCAAGTACCCCACACCAAATCGGAAGAGCTGAGTACGGGGTGTAGAGCATCCATTCTGAGAGCTGTGCATCAGTCTTGGGAACAGTGAAATTCTCCATCTAATGAAATGGTGTCGGGGAGCCAGCACAGACCTTGGAAGAAGCAGAGGAGGCTGCTGCCACTTTGGGCAGTTTGTCTGCTGGAGGGTGGGTTCCTTCCTGTACAGCAGGGATATCCAGAGCAAATCCAGGCAGCTCTGCTTTGGAAGGACCTCTCAGCAGGGTTTGGGAAGCTTTCTGGTGCAACTCTCAGAATCCAGGATGAAAAGGGACTTGGGGTTTTTCACAGACCCTGGCATGGGACACCAGCCACACCCGCCCTCCTGGAGGCGGTTCTGCTTTCTGGTCTCAGAATAAGGTCTGACTTAGAAGCACTTACCAGTCCCTGCTAACAGGGATTCTGGGGTGTCTGGATGCACAGTGTAGACAGACTGTTCACAGCCCAAAGCACTGGGTTAAGATGTGGGGATAGCGTGATTTCTAGAACAGAGATAGTGTGGTTTTTGCTTCTTTGGTGGTTTTTTTTTTTTCTTTCCTTTTACATGGTCCCTCACTTCAATCTTTGCTGCATCTCTTTTTGCTCATTCAAGAATTCAGGGAGCCCCCACAAATAGACAGGGATTGTGGGGTACTGCACATGAGCAGACCTGGAAGCCCAGCCTCTGCCCTCAACACTGCGATGGACCATACTGTGGACAGCATCCCCATGGATGCACACAGACCCACTAGAGATTCAAGACACAAGCACTAGCTAGACATGGGGTAGCTTCCTTGTCCGTGTGGCAGACAGTGAACTGATCAGGGGAGTGGGGAGCTCAGTTCTAGGGGCCCCTAGATCCACTTGTTTTCAGATACCCACAGAAGTGGGCCAGAATGTGTATCCTGTGGTCTCTGCCAATCTGCCCATCTTGGTGTGCAATGCCTTGCTGTGGGTTTGATCTGCCTCAATTGTGCAACCTTATCTGATCACTGGCCCATTTCATTGTGATTTGCCTGGGAACAATTTCCCCATGCTCCTAATAGATGTTCTTTTCTTTTCCTTTTTTTTTTTTTTTTTAACTACTTGGGTGAGACCCTGGAGAGGGAGGGGAAGGACTAGATCTTTGTGTATATACTCTGTCCACATGAAGACATACCCAGAAGTAGAAGAGCCATATCATTTGGCAGTTCTGTTTATCATTTTTTGAGAAGCCACCAAGGTTTTGACACCAGCTTCGCCAGCTTCCATTTTCATCACTAGTGCACAAGGTCCTCACCTTGTGCTTCTTATTGCTTCAGAGCCTCGCTACTTGTCATTTCCTGATTGGTTGGTTTCATTGAGAGGGGAGGGCACACACTAGGGCTCAAACCTAGGACCTTGTGCATGCTAAGCAAGTGCTCTACCACTGAGCCACACTCCCAATCCTGCTCTGTAGTTGCTTTTAATATTAAATAGGTGTGTATAACTGGTTAATGTGTTTCTACTTTCATCTATGATTAATTGGAGTTTTCTTTAAAAAGTTTTTGATCTAGCTAAATATTTGTCAAATTTGTTGGTGTTTTCTGAGAATCAGGTTTAGTTTCATTGACTTTCTCCATTTTTCCCCCACTATGTATCTTGTTTTTCCTCTACTCATCTTTATTATTCTCTGCTAAAAGTCATGGGTTTACTTTGTTGTGCTTTTTCCAGTTCTTTAAATCGTAAGATGGGCTATTGCTGTGGGCCCTTCCTCGGCCTTGGTGTAAGCTTTCACAGCCCTTGCCTCCCCTTCAGCATTGCTTCTCGTGTGCACGTTTCAGAACATTTTTCATTGGTTTTTATTCATTTTTAAGTGTTTTCTTGCTTCCCTTGTGTAGTTAGGGTTTTTTTTTTACTCTTTGGTCTTTGGGGGCCTGCCACCCAGCTCCCAAATAAGTACACAGAGATTTATTCTTACTTGTGAATGTCCAGTCTTCGCTTGGCTTATTTCTAGCCAGCTTTTCTTAAACTGTGTCTACCTTTTGCCTCTGGGCTTTTACCTTTCTCTAT